GAGGCCCCCGGGACCTCAACTAAAAGCACCATCATATCCCATAACATCATTCAAACTTGTTCCAATCATCAAAACACATCAAATAACGCTAAAACCATCAAATCACATCGAATTCAAGCCTAAGTTCTTCAAAAACTTCCGAAATGCACTTTCGATCAAAAAGTCTACCAAACCTCATCCGAATGATCTGAAACTTTGCACGCACATCCCAAATGACATAACGGAGCTACTGCAACTCTCGGAATTCCATTCCGACCCCTATATCAAAATCTCGCCTATCAATCGGAATACGCCAAAATACTAACTTCGCCAATTCAAGCCTAATTCTACACCGGACCTCCAAAATAAATTCCGATCACGCTCCCAAGCCACAAATCATCTCCCGAAGCTAAACGAATCACCGAAAATGACATCCGTGCCCTCTAACTCATAAGTCAACGTCCGGTTGACTTTTCCAACTTAAGCCTTCTTAAAAGAGACTAAGTGTCTCATTTCTTATCAAAACCAATCCGAATCAACTCTAACTCACCACATACCGGTAATGAAACATGAAGAAGTAATAAATGAGGAAAACGGGCAGTAATACCCGATACGACGGGTCGGGTCATCACAAAAGAGGTTACACATTTAAAGAAATATTTAAAGACTAATGTAGTGTCAATATGGATTTCTATGACTAATCTGCAGGTTTTCTTTCTTATTTAGCAGTTTCTTTCAAAATTTGTGAGGCTACCTTCTTTTCGTTTACTTTTCTCCCATCCAATTTAATTTTCGTTTAACGATAAAAGATTATACTGTTTGAGATTTTGGGTCAAAAGAGAATTATCCATGTTTGAAAGAAAAAACAAAATCCAAACATCATTGTCGCTAATTTTTAAAAAGAGCTCCACTCTAGCCACATATTTGTCCAACAAAATACTGATTCTTCTCCTAACATTTGGTAATTAAAATCAATTAAATTATAATTATTTTATGTAAATTATTATTTTCTTTGAACAATATAATATTATTGTAATTCGTTCCACGTTACAGTCAAATATTAAAAGTACGAAGATTCTTAGCGAAATATGATTCGCCTTTTTTACCCCTTAAAAGTAAATGTTACCATGGACAACATTGTCATTTAGTAATTTTTCTAATACTTAGGACTTAAAATCGAGAATACTGATTCTTCTCCTAACATTTGGTAATTTAAATCAATTAAATTATAATTATTTTACATAAATTATTGTTATCTTTGAACAATATAATATTATTGTAATTCCTTCCACGTTACAGTCAAATATGAAAAGCAGTTCGCCCTTTTTACCCCTTAAAAGTAAATTTTGCATTGGACAACGTTGTCATTTAGTAATTTTCCTAATATTTAGGACATAAAATCAGATAAAATTTAGTTTATTAAAACTTTTCTTATTGGTATTAGGTTTAGACCTTCAAAATCAATTAAAAGATTTTTTTTACTCTTGCAAAAAAAGAAATAGAGAACGTGAAATTAAAAAAAATTACATGCGTTAATTATGTGTTTAAACAGGAAAATTCGATGGATTCTAATTTATTGTTTTTTAACGTAATAATGACATAAAGAAATAGAGTTTCTTTAATTAATTATAAAGTTTATAAAATTTAAAGTGACCGATCTCTTATTTAATTTAAATAAGGTTAAATTGGTTCTCTAATATCAGTATAACAACATCTTCCCATCGCAAATAACTATAGTAAAATATGTACAAGTTTAGGACTAAGATAAATATGTTCAAGTCTCTAAATTAAATACCACTCACTTTAAATATGATTTTGAGCATCCAGTTTTATATTAAAATACTGTCGTTCTTTTTTAGTTCACCATATTTTTTAATTCACGGGAACTGAAGATTGTACGTTATTTTATAGAGTACTGTCAGTGTCTATCAGTTATTACAATACCAATAATTATTGCATCTATCTTGACGTTAATTGTTATCTCAAATTCATTCTTATTCTACGTTATGTACACTTACTAATAATAGACGCAACACACATGTGCATCGCACGTACACTAAAACTAGTAATTATAAAATTTATGAAAATTGTGGAATATGAGATGCCATGAAACAAACTAAAGAAATATTAGATAGCAGTGAGAAGCCATAAGCTTTTCTTTGATAACATCCTCTCCTCTTAATTATTCAAGATATTATATAAATTAACATATTACCGAATCTAATGAGTTTCCCCACCATCTATTTCATCGTCCATGATTTTAGAATCTTGGATGGAAACATGGATTTGTAGGGAAAAGGTTAAAATCAATGCTTCCTTATAACTTAGAGTATCAACGCGAAAAGTTAAGGAAAAAGTTAAAATATTGCCTCCGTATTATGATCATCTTTATCCTTTGCTTCTTTCCTTTTTCGGGAATTTTATCTTTGGAATTGATTGGTTTACTACGTTTTAAGTGTGGCTTAGACTCATTTGCTTTATTAGATTGTCCTACCGGGACATCAACTCGAATTGGAACATTTGCAGCCGGAATATGAGATTTAGTAACCATTGGTCGGTTAGTAAATGCATCTGGCAGTTGATTTGCAATATTTTACAAATAAATTATCTTTTGAACCTCCAGTTCACATTGATTTGTACGAGGATCTAAATGAGATAGTGATAATGCATTCCAATCTATCTCTTTTTTCCAGCTACTTATTCTCTCCCCCAAATGTTGGAAAAACTAATTCATCAAAATGGCAATCAGCAAATCTTGCCGTAAATAATTCTCCAGTCATGGGTTCCAGATACTTAATAATAGAAGGAGATTCATATCCAACATATATTCCCAATCTTCTTTGAGAACCCATCTTTGTGCGTTGTGGTGGAGTAATTGGAACATATACTGCACATTCAAATATCCTAAGATGAGAAAAATTTAGCTCCTGACCATAAGCCAATTGTAATGGGGAGATTTTACGATAACTCGTTGGCCTGATGCGTACAACTGCTGCTGTATGCAAAATAGCATGACCCCATATCGAAATAGGAAGTTTTGTTCTCATAAGCAATGGTCTAGCAATTAACTAGAGACGCTTGATAAATGATTCTGCTAGACCATTTTGAGTATGAACATGAGCAACATTTGGGATGTAAATCCACTAGTATTATCAAGACGAATTGTCTTAATTGCATAATTTGGAAATTGTGCTCTTAATCTTAGTAATTGAGCTAACAACCTCGCAAATGCCCGAATGTGACCATCTTGTAGATGCATTTATTAAAATCATATAATATTTAAATGGTCCACATGATGGGTGAACAGTCCACATATATCACCTTGTATACGTTCCAGAAATGCTGGAGATTCAATCCCAACTTTAGTTGTTGATGGTCTAGTAATAAATTTACCCCGAGAACATGGAACACAAGAAAATTCTTTAAACTGAAGAATCTTCTGGTTCTTCAATGAATGTCCATGTGAATTCTCAATTAATTTGCGCACCATGCTTGAACCAGGATGGCTCAATCGGTCATGCCAAATAATAAAATTATTTGAATTAGTAAACTTCTGGTTTACTATAGCATGTGTTTCAACCATGCCAATATTTGTGTAGTACAAGCCAGAGGAAAGAACGGGTAACTTCTCAAGCATATATTTCCTACCCGACTTTATTGTAGTAATATAAAGATATTCAATCTTTTCATCATTGTAGTCTCAATGATATCCATTTTGACGGAGATCCTTAAAACTCAGTAAGTTTCTTTGAGACTTACTACAATATAGTCCTTCATTAATAGCCAAATTTGTTCCTCCAGATAGTAATAAATTAGCTCTTTCAGATCTTTCAATTAATTTTGTACCACCAGATATTGTATTAACACTGGCTTCTTTCATCACTATATATGAGAAATATCTTTTAAAATAGTACGTGTTTTGGCACTATCCAAAAGACATATATCATTTTTGTTGATCTTGGATCCAACTAAAGATTGAGAAATTTCCATATTCTGAAAGAGGTTATGAAGATAAATCCCAAAGTGGTAGTGAAAATTATTAGAGTCTTTTGCTGATAACGTGTTATGAAATAATAGAAAATAAAGTAAAATAAGAGAAATTTAGAGGGAGATAATTAATAAAATTTTCTTGATGATATTCTTCAAGTGTTTGGGCTTTATTTACAGGCACTTTTGCATAAAAGGATTTGGCCACTTGTCCAAAGTCTTGACACTTGTTGAAAGTCTTGACATTTGTTGAAAAAGTTTTGCCACTTTTTGAAAATCTTGACATTTGTTGAAAGGCCTGCCACTTGCTGAAGGCCATGCCACTTGGCCATAAGTCTTCATAAAGAAGACACCAAATTGTTTGTCTTTTCACTTAAAATAATCATTTGAAATAATTTATTACTACAATAGACTAGTTTATGACCAGCTAATTTGCTCCCAAATAATTTCATAATACATGGATATTCACTCTTAGTATTATTTATAACAAAATTATTTTTATTTTCAATTTTTTTTACTATAGATGAGTAACAAAAAGAAAGAATTAGCTTCAATATTTTGCAAAAGGATAAATTTATTTATTTTCAAATTTTCTTACTTCAAATTGATTAACAAAAAGGAAACATTAGCTTCAAATATTTGGTGAATGAATGTTTTATTAAAACCAAAATATTAGGTTTATTGAGTGCGTAGCCTTTGTGACTTCTTTAAGATGGCGCAAGGGTTGCGTAAACATATTATCGAGTGTGAAAAAGTATTACTCCCTCCGTTATAATTATGTGAATCTATTTTTTTTTTGGTCCGTTTTAAAAAGAATGACTCCTTTCTAAATTTGGAAACAATTTAGCTTAAACTTATATTTTTTACTTGTTTGGAGTATAAAAAAATGTGATGCACCAGCCGGGAATCGAACCCGGGTCTGTACCGTGGCAGGGTACTATTCTACCACTAGACCACTGGTGCTTCTTGAAAGATGACGCAGAAACAATTTATTTCACCAGTGCAGCTTAGTGACATCGAATCTGCAATTTGAGAAGTCCAGCGGCCCATATGGCCATATCAGTCCGTGAGGGAGAGAGAGATGAATGAACAGTAGCTCCTACCGGCGACGGACAGCTATCGAACGGAGAATAAAAACGCTGTCTTTTCAATTGTCAGCTCTTTTGAACGTTCTTTTCCAAGTGAGCTTACTTTCTCCCATTCTTTACTTCATTTTCTTATCTTTTTTGTGGCATTTAATTTCTCTTGCATATGCTTTGTTCTTTACAGTGTTGAATTTTTAATTTTCCCATATTTGTTTGATAGAATCGCAATTTTGATTATCTCTTTCCGTGGAAATTTTCACAATTTTATCTATTTTTCATATACCGTTTCTATTTTGTTTAATTAGTGTTCTGGTGGGAAGAACATTGAATATCAGCTGTTTTCCAGGAGCTTTAGTTCAAATTAGGTATTTGTATGTCAGCGTGCGATAAATGTGCAATTTAGAGAATTGTAGTTCCAGAGAACCCTTAGTTTGTTTTAGGGGAAAGATTTACTACTGGAACGAAATGAGTCCGAATAGAGGAAAATGGGTATAGACAATTCGTATAGCAAACAACAACTAGTTTAAGATCAAAAATTAGTTGATTGATTGATCAATTGATGATAGCAGCGACATAGCCAGATAGAGTGAAGGGTGATCGAACACCCATCCTAGGAAAATTGTATTGAGTATATAGAAAATTATAATGTGTATATAGGTCAAAAATTAAGTACTTTTTTATACATCTATGTTAAATCTTAAACACCTTTAGCGAAATTCTTGGTTTCACCATGCGATGATAGTGTATAAATCCTATTTCTTTACCTGGTGAAAAGTCGAGGTGCACGCAAGCTGGCTTGGATAACACCATCATAAAAAAAAGGAGTGATCAAAGGGGTGGAGAATTGTCTTCCTATATGATTACTAGAATGGTCATGTGCCAAAATAACTGGACAATGTCTCATGGAGGTGAGGCAGTTAGTTGAGAATCCTTAATTAATGATACAGACGTTCGGTGGTTATAAACTATTTTTTACATATAGTCTTTTTTTTTTTCAAGTTTTAGTTTTAGATGGTGTGCCATAGCCATGTTGATTCATGAAGTTTCTCCCATGTGCTTGCAACATAAATCCCAACTCTAAGTCTTTTTTTTACAGGAGAAAGATGTCTCTTCTCCACTCACCTTTCGTAGTTGGACCCCGGCAGAGTCTCTCTTCATCCAAAACAATTTCAGAGGCATCCCAACTCTTCCTCTTCACCAAATTCTCTTCTCTTAGTCTAACCACCACCACAATCACAAATGTTCCTTACAAGACCTCAACAATTAGGATGGGTGGTGGCCCAAGAACCTATCCAGGAGGCGTCTCAAAGTGGCAGTGGAAACGAATGCAAGCAAAGAAAGCGAAGCAGCTTCTTAAGGCTCGATTGGCTCGGGAACGCCAAATCTATGAGATGAGGAAGCGGGCCGAGCTCAAAGCTGCTGTCTCTGAGCTTGAGAGGCCTTGGGAAGTGGTTGAAAAGGCACCTACATTGTTCTCTGTGAGTGCTGATGAGCAATTGAGCGTCTTGGCTGATCGGTTTCAAAAGCCTGGAGGGTTTGATATGTGGTCTGACAAAGATGGGCCAGAACTGTTCAAGCCCGTAGATGGATTACCCTCAGCAAGGTTTTTCCCTAAGGGAGTTGTTCATAGCATTAAACCCTATGGAAAAATTGAGAATGCTATTGGTGGTTTTGAGGACTCTTCAAATTTGGGTTCAGATTCTCTAAGTGAAAGTGATAGGAAGGTGCGAATGAAGAGTAATAGGCGTGAGCGAAATTCAAGAACACTAAGAACTGGATCCGATAGAGAAGGAAAAGAGGGTTATTTGAATATGGAAGATTCCGATAAAGTGTCAATAGATGGCAACAATCGCAAGGGCATGCAAAATAAGTTCAGCAAGAACACAAATCGGAGGAAGATGTTTGGTCACCCTGAAAAATTTAGTTCAGCGGAAACTGGGATGTCTAGAATAAAGAATAAGAGTCATAGACCAGCTGACAATGATGGAGAGGGTGGAATGTTTAATGTGGTAGACAAGTTCGATGATTCAGATTCTCCGGTGTTTGAATTGAATCTGCAAGATGATGGGAGCTATCAACTTTAAATCCGAGAATTAAGAGTTCTGATAAGTAGACAAGCTCAAAATTTGGTAGATAGCATGTGTAAATCATCCTTGTTCATGTGTATACTTTTGCATATTTAACTATTCACTGATTATATCTAGATTGAAAACTAATACGAACTGTGAGTTCAGCACGAACTCACACGTTTAAGTGTGAACTGTGGGTCGAATTCAAAATGATATACAATTTATAATGAAGTTGATCTTACAATTGTACCTGCAGAATCCCTGATTACTTTCTCCTCCGGCTCCGGGGAGGAGGGGAAATGAGAGTTAGCTATTTTAGTTTCCAGCAATTTGAGCTTGTGGAACCTCCATTTAGTTTAGGTAAGTCTATAAGTATGTAGAAAGTTTACTCTAAGAAGAGTTGATGTTTTTCTCAGCTTCAAGTTTGTACGTTTTCCTGTTGATTAGCTAGTTCTCCACTTTGTTTGGTTGAGTGCAGAAATAATTATTTACTCCAACTCTTCCTGCCTAAGATCTTAATCTATGACTCAAACTGAATATTCACTTGCCAAACATATTAGTCCACAGAATTTGGACAGAAGTATGCTACAAGCAGCTTCTTAAAAATACAAATAGGAGCATATGTTTTGAACTTCAAATAGATGCAAACATGCCTTCATGTAAATAGGGTTTGATTTCACTAAATTGTGATGTGAGAGTCGAGAATGCATTGTTTGAAGACACACACACACACACACACAGAATATAAAAGAAAAAAAAGAGAGGAAAGAAGAAATGTCTGAATAAATTGAGAAAGACTGATACTAGCATCAAAAGATGATATATTGTTAGCATATACCTTATTTCAGTACTATTTAGCCAGTTGAGTTTGCTAGACCGTTACTCGGTTCCATGATTTAATTAGTTCATTTTATTAACATTATTTAAGTATTCAGTCCTACATCCAAAATCCTTAAGTGTCCTGAAATGGCTTTCAGTTGTATGACAAAAATCAAATCATCATAATACGACTATTTTAATACAATAGTCAATCCATGTAACTTTTCATCTTTAACTGAACTTGAGACCTTATATTTGCCCCTGTATTAATCAAAATTGAGAAACTGTCTTCCTTTAAACTTTTGGTCTAATCTTACTCTGTTGTTAGGAAAAAGTTTCATTTTCACCTTAAACCTCTGATGGACTTCCAACCTAAGCGTAATTTAAACAAGCCTTTTTTCTCGAAGAATTTGGACACATGAAAGTCCGCCCATTTCATGCTAGAGCGCAGCTAATGACATGGATTATGGACAATTACGAGACAATTTGCTAATAATAAAAATATGAAACTATAATAAACCAAAAATTTAACAACGGATAAAATCAAATAATTCTTTTAGTACATGATAAAATCTGAACTATTTCCGTGTGCGTAAAGAAAATATCAAATCATGTAAAATTCTCATTTTTCAACTAAGATGATAATGTATTGGGTAACCATCCCTTTCTTCTTTTCCTTCCTGTTATGTGTTAGGTATTCTGATCTTTGAACGATACTTTTCCCCCCTTATATATCTCGTGTCCCTTAGTCTAGTTGGATTATTAGCAACTAATAGCATGAGTACAAGTTTTGAAGGCTATGGTCAGTGTTTAATCTAAGAGATTAGTGTTAGGACCGAAAAAAGTCAGGTGTCATGCGGAAGCTAGCAAAGCAAACCTTGAACGACGATAAATTATACAACAAAGAGAAATATACCAAATAAGAGACACAAACATTTAACGTGGTTCGGTCAACTGACCTACGTCCACGTGGATATGAGCAATCCACTATAATAAAAGAGAGTACAAAATATCGAGAGAACAACCTCACGAAGAGGCAAACACAAGTGACACACTAACACTTGTCCCGTAAAGTTCTCCCCCTAAACGCGACTCTCAAACCCCATATGACTACATTGTGGATGCTACTGAATGAGAAGGACGGATCTTCAATTTATAGAACTCCAAACCTTTTCCTACAAGAAAAGGGACTAGCCAAATATTGAAGAATTATATTTTCCTTCTAGGAAAAGAAAAACCCAATTATGGTAAATATGTTGTCCATTCCTTCATGAGATAGGAAAACCAATGATGATAAGAAAATCTGGACAAACACCTAACAATTAGAATATTGACTAACTGCTGTCTATTTGACAAGCAAAGGTTGTATTAGACGGTGGAGGTTATCCTTTTTCTCATCATTTCCAGGTGGTTTTTTGCATACTATAATATATATAGATGTTTACAACTATGCCATTGGTTTTAATTTAAGTTATGGCTAAAGATTCTGGAAAACACAGGTTGCATTTGTGATTTTGTCATTTCCCCGGAGAATTGGAATCCCTAAAGATTAAAAAAAATAGTATTTCCCAATAGCATTGGTTCTGTAGCTCGTTGATTGTTCAGTATAATTCAACGAATTGTGCTGCTGGTGGACATAAGTGGTTGGTGCTTACTGCATTGGGTATTGCTTGCATCCCCAACTTTGACTGTGGATTAATTTTTTTTTTTTTTTTTTGTGTATCTTTTTTTTTTTGAGCAAACAGGAAATATTTGTATTAAAACTACGTAATGTTTAGTACATCACAGTCATACTTTTGTCACTTAGGATATATTGATTTCCTAAGCTTGCTAATACGTTGCAAGCACCATAAGCTAGGTACTTAACAGAAACATAATGTTCTTCTTGTTCATTCCTTACAAAAGATTCAACATAAGAGGGAAGTAGTACAGAAAGTTTTTTTCCTTTTGTTTGAGTATTAGCCTCTTTCGCCAATTGATGTACCACATTATTCCCTTGCATGAATACGTGCCGGAGGATCACTTCCTTCTCCTGGTGCATTAACAACCTGCATTCATTAACAAAATCATCATATAGTCTATTTCCATGTTGTATAGAGTGGATTATCTCTGTGCAGTCTGTTTCTATCTCCAGTGGAAACATTCCCCATTCTTGAGCTGTCTGAAGCCCTTCAAGAAGTGCCTTAATTTCTGCTTCTAACGATTCATTTGCATATGTAGAGTTTGTAAAACCAACCACCCAACTTCCCTTTGTATTACGGAATACACCTCCCAGGCCGCTCTTTTGATAGTTGTTCTTAAAACTAGCATCAATATTTAATTTAAACCAGCCCATAGGAGGTTTGTGCCATTTTACTTTGAAGGAGATTTTCTTTAAAGGGACAAAGTTATTTTCAGTAAGAAGAGCGAATTCAGTTGCCTTTTGGTTAATAAGGTTTATGTTAATGGGGTTGTTTGTGTTGTTTTGGTTATTAGTATTCCTATTTACCCATATATGCCAGGTGGCAAATGGAAAGAAAGAATTCCACTTAATATACTTACTTCTTAATGAGAAATCAAATTCTTTTAGTTGGAGAAGCCAGCGATCACATGTTGGATTATAGAAATTAGGCCATCCCATATTTTCCCAAAAGGATTTGGTGGTTTTGCATTGAAAGAAAATATGGGTGATAGTTTCCTCTTCTTTCGATTCGCAAATAGGGCACAAAGGCTCTATATTAATTCCTATATTAGCTAAGTATTTCCTGCATGGAATCCTATTATGAAGGCATTGCCATAAGAAGAATTTTATCTTGTTTGAACAAGTTAAATCCCAAATCCATTTATAATCCAGTTGGCTATGCAAAGCGGGTTCAATTAGGTTGTAGCAAGTCTTAGTAGTGAAAAAACCCTTAGTAGTTAGTGACCATATAGGAATATCCCTTGTTGGTCCCTTTGATCGAATTCTAACCTTAGAAATATTTTCTTTGATATCATTAGGGATATCAATGGACAACTTAGTGAAATCCCATTTATGATCAATGTAGATATCTCTAATTTTAGGGAGTAATCACTAATCGAGAGGGAGCCTTCAATCGAATTTCTGAGATTTGTTATATCGGGAATCCAACTTGTGTTCCATATGTTCAAATTTGTTTGGTAGTGGGGTGATCATGTAATCCCTTTCGAACATAACTCCCACCCCTTTAAGATGCCCTTCCAAATGAAGGAGTGATTAAATTTAGCAGTACTCACCCCATATGAGGTAATAATAAGCCTTGCCCATGGAGTCGTGACATTTGTGAGTAATCTCCATACTAGGCCAGCTAAGTTACACATATTTTTTGTGTTAGCATTATGAATGCCTAGGCCTCCATTGGATTTAGGTTGGCAAACATTTGACCACTTTATAAGGTGATTTTTTTTCTTTTCTGCAGTTGTTCCCCATATAAAATCCCTCTGGACTTTATCAATATTTTTAAGAGTCTTTTTTGGTAGTAGGGCATATTGCATGTAGTGGTTTGGTATGGAGTTCGGGCACGAATGGGCTAAAGTAGTTCTCCCTGCTATATTCATAAATTTTATTTTTCAGGAGGCAAGTTTTGTTCTCATTTTGTCAATTATGAATTGATAATCCGCCGGTCTTGGATTCTTCATTAATATTAGGAAACCTAGGTAGGTACCAAAGGTCTCACTTTTTTTTATACCTAGATTATTGGTAATGTCATTACTAATGTGAGGTAAGCAATTTTTTGAAAAAAGAATTTTTGATTTTGACGCATTTATGCTTTGGCCTGATAGATAGCAAAAATAATCAAGGCCTGTTTTAATGGCTTGGCAAGATTTGCTATTTGCTTTGGCCATTAATGTCAGGTCATCTGCAAAAAAAGATGAGAAAAGCTGGGGCTTCTTCTCCCTATAGTAATAGGATCCCAATTACAAATATCAACTTGGTGATCAATATACCTAGATAACATTTCTAAATAAAGGATGAAAATATAAGGTGATATAGGATCACCTTGTCTTATCCCTCGACTTGGCTCGAAGAATTTTGTGATGGAGACATTAACAAGAATTGCTATAGAGCTGGTTGAAATACAGTTTAGTAAGAGTTCAGAGAATTTAGGAGGGAAATTAAAGTATCTTAGAGTGCGGCAAACAAAGGACCATTCTATTCGATCGAAAGCCTTTTCAAGATCAATTTTTAGGATCATGTGGCCTTGTTTGACTTTTAATCTATTTAGGTTGGAAACTAATTACCGAATGATGATTGCATTATCAGATGCTCTTCTATTCTTCATGAAACTAGCCTGCAAAGGACTAATAATTTGTTCTAGGTAGGGTTTGAGACGGTTTGCAAGAATTTCAGATGGTTTTGTAAATAGTATTACAAAGGCCAATTGGTCTAAAATTTTTAATATTATTGGCATTAGGCATTTTTGGGATAAGGC